AGAACACACTTGGATTGAAAAGGGGGCCAGGTGGAATGAAACTGACAGATCTCCAGCGATCATGTGGAAGAAAAGCCACTACAAAGCAGTGCTAGAGGCCCAAGTTGCCGATAAATGATATGTGTAAATTAAGACTTTTCAGTGCTCGAAGGCTCATGTTGATGTTGGCGAGCTTTCTTCGTGAATGCTCCTTCTTTCGGTTTTCGATTACGCGCTCTTCTCTTCTGAACAGACTATCAGTAATGTGGAATTAATAAAAGACAGCTTCACCTCCATGTTCGCCTTTCTTGAAACCTGGGCATTTCAATCACATTTTTACCTACTGTTGTAATTATATTTAGTTAGAAATTCATGGATCTGAATTGCAATTAGGTAAGAGCTGGTATCCGTCGAGCGTAATAGGTTTACTCTCGAGTTCTGAAACGCTTTCAGACCTTTGATAACGACGAGCTGGTCGAAATGTTGGGTAAATAAATGTTCCACCATTAGAAAAACCTGTTTGGGACAGAAGCATTGACTAATGACAGCTTCTTTTTTTGATGCCCAATTATTGGCAATATTGTATGGCTCTATAAAATTATTTTCCTCTGGCTGTGCGTTTTCTGCTGGTTCATGTCTCTACTGCCATGCAATTGTTTTTCTCCGTTTTCTTAGTCTTGTCTCTTTCTTTCTTTTCCTGTGTCTCTTTTTTTGTATTTATTCTTACTGACAAGTGAATAAGGCTAAATATTTGGAAGAGGTGACAAAAAGAGCAGCAAGAATCTTTTTGCCAGCACGCCCTCCGACATGGCTAGTACTTGGTATAGTCGGTATGTAGAATCGGGTACGAATAACTTTACATCGTTGATAGAGTACTACATCGGTTATAAAGTACTGATTCACTGATAATGTGGAAGAGGTGACAAAAAGAGCAGCAAGAATCTGCCAGCACGCCCTCCGACATGGCTAATACTTGGTATAGTCGGCATGTAGAAACGGGGTACGAATAACTTTACATCGTTGGTAGAGTACTACATCAGTGATAAAGTACTGATTCACTGATGATGAACTTTGACCCACAGTGATCGAGTGAATTTGAGGCTTTCGACACATTCCTTACAATTTTTCTGTTTCAGATCAGAGCAGGTGCTGTGATGATGCCAAATTAGTTAATTTGTATGCCACCGAGATTTCGGTTGATCATCTCCGTGGAACACAAGTCAGTCGGCATCCAATGCATTAGGAATGGCTTAATTACCACACAATATTATTAAAAATATAACCAGGACTCAATATAGCCTGAATATGAGTGGGCCAACTAGCCAGGTGACGCCTGTTTGATACTTTTCTCACGACACTTCCTATTCGCTTATGCAATATGAAATTCAGCACGAAGCACACGATAGCATCGCCCTTCATTCAATGCCCGTCAAAAGCTTACAAAGCCGAATCAGTTTTAGAAGGAACAGCCTGTAGTAGGCAATACCTTGGACGAGGTGTCGAACTGAGCTTACTCTCAGAGTTCGAAACCTGGACGTAAATTTTTCCGGAATTTCGGGTAATTTTTTCGGAATTTGACTCGTGGTGGCAATAATTTTTACAAAATCAAGAACCAACATCACGTAATGCCATTTTTCTCCATATGAGTCGTGAGTTTTTCTATTCATTTTGAAAAAGCAAGGTTTCCATCACATTTCTCAATTGATCTTTACTTGGTCTACCTTATTTCACACCCCAGCCACCATTAAAATATGATCACCTTCCTTCATTAGCCTGTACCAGTTTTTCCTTTCCCTACAATCTTTCTGAACAGCGTTGAGAGCTATTCATCTCAGCTCCGCTCACCCTAGAAGTTTGACAGTCTACGTCCAACAACCACTAGCCGTTTTTCGCACGGTGAAAGTGCTGTTGGGGGAGGGGAACACGGAGACACACTTAACAGCGTTAGTATAACAAGAACTCAACATGGTGCTTTGTAGTTATCCTTGCCACACCGTTATAGTACTGCAGCAGACACGAAGAGGTGGATGGCACAACCAGTTGTGCGCGTTTTTAGCCAGAGGCTCAGTTGTGAAAAATTGCATGTCCCAGGTGCTATAGGGAATAGCGCAATACGTAACATAGCATTAATTGCTCGATATACTGCTATGTGCCCCTCCCCTCCTCCTAGAATTCTAATGCCATGGGGCGCTAATCAATCTGTCGGAGAAATGCGTTCACTCATTCAACCCTATTCAGCATCGTATTGAATGTGTATTTGACCTAAACAGTGACTTGCAATGGCCAGTCGATGAATAAGTCTGTGTTTTTATACTTCCAGACAAGTCTAGCACCATTTGAAGCACCCCGAGGAATGGAAGGCTTGGTTGATCTAAGCGTTTCGGGATTTGAGTCAATGACCGTGCGTTTGAGATAGTGCACCACTTGCCACTGCAAAAACTCCGCCCTGTCCCCTAGTATAGTTGTGAAATTTCGAACTTGGCTCCGCCCACCTCGGTGCACGCTTCGCTCGCCATGAGGATTCGGGCGCTCTTTCTTTATTAACCTTCAACCACATTTTCACGGACTCTACACTGTTTTTGAACAGAGTTACTTGTATTAAATATTGACTCCGCCCACTGTTCCAATTTGATCACTCCTCCTGCAACCGGCTCTAACCTCTTTTCCTCCCGCAGAAGTTAGACCCTGCTTGCTTCCACAATTATTTTTCTCTGACGTCTAAATCTTAGTAGAATGGGCTTATAAATCAATTAGTACACACCCTTTTTTGGAGGACATGCCCAACACTGGTGAGTTCCCATCTAAATTCAGGGGAACTCTGCTGAGTTCTTTTGCGCCATTTTAAAGGCACCATTCACGACTAAAAGTTATTGAGAACTNCCCCCCCCCCCCCCCCCCCCCTCCATACAGAAGAACAGGAAGAATCGAGCGCTTCACACATGTGTAAAATTACGATCTTGGTCACCCTTGACGTATTGCTGAACTGAATGTAATCACTGTTGACTGCACCTAAGCCCCAGGTAAGAGGGGTGGCTCAGCGCATTGGAGACAGAGAAACTACGCTACAAACCCATGAACTTCTTAGAAAAAGTGAAAAGCGGCATAAGCACGTTGATTTACTCGCAATTGTCGAAATTGCACCATATAACCGTTCACCACCCGTTCAGTGACTCATGATGCTTTGAATGTTCAAAACTACTGAGAAATAATCAACACTTGTTACCCCGCGTAACGGGATTACCGATGGTAAACGTTGGCATCTCAAATTGTAGGTATGATGCTTTTTATCTAGCGCCTAGGTCCTAATTCTGAATTTATAATTGTGTTGAAGTACTAGAGTTCTATAAAGATTTTGAGTAGAGGAATTGTATTTTACCCACCTTTCCGAAAATATTGAAACGCTTCCACCACCCTTTCACTGTTTGACTGGCTTCCATGAGACGGCCCAACGCTGAAACGACGATCTGCTGTCAAGTTGTTGACACTTGACGGCGAAGGGCGAAGGGGGACCACACATTTGGTTATCATGACTCTGCGGTAGAACTTTTCAATCGGTCCATGTAGTGGTAAATACAGTGAGGTTTCTGATGTTGAGAAACTAAAGTATAGTAAGTATTGTAACTGTAATAAGTAGCAGAATAGTGTACAGTACTGAAATGAGGCTCCATTCATTCTGATCTGCTTCTGAAGCAAACGCCCAGACATACATACATTGGTGTGCAAAACTTAGGGACGAAAGCAACTTTCGATCACTGAACCTCTGTCAGACGACAGAGCTCGATGAAATTTCTACCGTACCAATAGAGGATCATTATGGTATTACGCAGGAAGTAACTGGCAGAAAATCGAAATAGGACTAGCAAATAAGGCATTTTTATTGAAAGGTATCGATTACACATAGTCTCACAGCTTATCTTAGTACTTCAAAAAAAGCGACGCGAATAATAGGGTATGTGATCACCACGGACAGCAGTAAATGCTCTGCAATGCGATCCCATACTTTCTACGAGGTTGGAAATGAATTATTGTGGTAGGGCATTCCACTCCTCTATCAGCGCAACTGACAATTACTGGATGGTCAGGGGTGCGTTTGGACGTGCTGTAATGCCTCTACCCAGTGCATCCTACGCGTGCTCCATAGGATTCAGGTCGGGGGCACGGACAGGCCACTCCATTCACTGGATAACCTCTTGTGTAAAGAGCTCTTTCTCCTGAGATGTTCGATGCGGTCGCGCATTGTTATCCATGAAAATGAATTCAGGGCTCACTGCAGCCTTGAAAGGATAGACATCAGGGAGGGGTTCCTTTTCACAGTAACGCCGACCGTTAAGGGTGCCACGCTCAAAAATCTGGAGGTCAGTACGGTTACGACCCATGATGCCTCCGCATACCATAACACCTCGATCACCAGAACGATCAAAATCCACAACGTTTCTGAGAGAAGTGCGTGTCCCCAGCTCTGACCATGAGGGTGCGTCCAGAATCACTGCTCAGACTGAATGTGCTCTCATCCGAAAAAAGCAAGCGGCCTCATTTCTCATCGGCCCGTTCGCTATGCTCCTGGCACCACCTTAAACCGTCTCGCCGATTCGCGAGTGTTAAAGGAACCCTACGTAGTAGTCGTCCGGAGAAGAGACCACCGCCGCGCAGTCGTCGTGCCACTGTGTTGCGTGGGATGACTTGCTTTGAAATCAAAGAGGCTGACTGACGTGGATCTCTACATGCCTACTGCACAATGTAGCGGTCTTACCTTAGAGTAGTTGTTCTTGGTCGACCACCTCCTCTCCCTCTTGCAGCAGTATAAGAGGTTCGGAATGCTCCCCGTGCACGTGAAACAACGCTGTGAGCGATATCAGGTTCCTGAGCAGCGTTCGTCTTTNTGTCAGTTTATCCAGACGATGTCAGCGGGATATGGTGTATAGAAGGATAACACCACAGTACTTGGTAGCAACTAGCTGATTGACAAAAAAATTTTTTTCGCACCCAACAGCTCCCTCGATTTGTGCGGGTAACCCGCTTTATTTGAACTATTCCTCCACCAAGGAATGTCCAACTCCCTTGTCATAGGTCTGGCAATATAATCCCACACTTTCATTTATTTCCACCCAGTCATCAATGTTTTATGTTACATTATCCATCTCGTCCCTAATTATTGCACACCAGTGTACTATGCCAGTTACGTTGGCCTCCAGAAAACTAGAAACAGGAGATTCCCCACGGTCGTTTCTCAATCAACACCATCTACGAGAGTGCCGAAGCTCTACTAATGATATGAAGTGAGTGGCGGGAGGGGAAGGACGAGGAGTGGGTATGAATTTCCGGTCGGACAAACATACACACACATACACACATATATTCATTCACAGGCATACACACGGACGCTCGGACACACACACGCACACACAGCCATCATTGCAGCAATGATGTCATAATTCCCTTCCTTGAACGTCGTTTCGGTAAGTTACTGAAAAAGTCGATGAAACGTTGGTTCTCCGGCATGTTATCTGCAAGAGTAGCTGAAACCTCAATGTGGAAAAGGTTTCTCCCCCTATGAGATAATTCGAATAAAGCAGAAGGAGCAGATGGATTTGTCGGCATTTACCTTTTTCGAACAAACTGTTGAAACCGTTCGATTCTTGTTTTCTATTCATGTTTTTCTGCACCTCTTTCTTTTCCTGAATGACAAATTTTCAGTCACAGTTTATTATTCAACAAAATGAGTTCCTTCGGCGTTTAGTACCTTTGGCCAACGTTCGCAAGACCACCAACTCTATGGTGCATAAGTCTGATGACTTGAAATCAAAGATAGCTTAGTGGTCATTTGGAGGTAATAGTAATCGCAATCGCAATCATCGTAATGCCTCTTTTCAGGGATGCTGAACCGATCGAGAGAAGTGGTAACTGCACAAAGTTGCGCATAAATTGTACAGTCCTGCTCGGACTGTACGGTTTATGCGGCAAAACTACTTAACAAGTCGAAAGTTTTCGAAAGGATACATCTTGCCGGCCTGCCTTCACAAGCATGCAGTTAGATCCAGCCCTCATGGATGCCAGCTCTAGAAAAATTTCGTCTTTCTGTTGCAATCAGGCTAGGCAGGTTGGCAGATGTGGTTGACGTATAAGACCGAATTTTCATCTTCATCAGCGATAATACTAGCCAGTGGAAGGTGAAACTTCCGGAAAAGAGCAGATGCAGATGTCCAGCGTCTCTGGGGGTAACTGTCTGTCGGTTCATGTAGTAGTCAATCACTGAGCTTTCACCGTTCGGAGAGATCGTAGACCATAGGCCATTCCGAACAGAAGGGTAGCAGCAAAATATCGTATCGTTTCATATGAATGCTATTCTGCCAATCTTTTCAGTTCGTTCAGCGATACATTTCCTTCTTATATGTAGAGCAGTAAATTGGTTGGTAGATTAATGGAGTAGCGTGTGTACTGCTCAGTGAAGTGAGTGATGTGGAGCGAAGTGGGTACTTCGAAAGTGTGAATTGGATCTGTACTGGTATGGTGTTATGTATGTCTATACAAAAATGGAGGTGATAATCTAGTAGGGAGACCTCCGCTTCTTTTTCAGCATTGAGCGAGAGCGCACATGA